CTCTGTGCGGTTTCTTTGTGTCTCTTACCTACCATACTATTACAATCGTTTATACATAGGGGTCTGGGTTTCCAACTCTTTAGGTTAGTCCATAATCTTGTCCGCTTCCTATATTCAAAACCATACTTACAATAGTCCACATGATAATAATCAAAATATTTCATAAAGTCACGTTCCTTCAAAAGTCCCGTCTGCGGATTTTCTATGAAAATATTCTCGGTTGAAAGTAGTTAATGATTTCAATAGTGTTCCTTACGATGCTATTAGCATAATCTATGTTTCTAACTCCTTTGGTTTTTGCTCTGCTATATTCAGTGCAAGGAGGCGAAGCCCAAATTATGTCAAAATATGTCTCATACTTTTTATAGTCCCATTCTAATATATATTTGTTGATGTGAGCCTTCTTCAAATCTAACGATATGACACTAAAACCGAATTCACGGGCAACTCTACCAACACTACCTGTTCCACTAAATAACTGAAACAGTTTCATATTAAAACTCTATAGATTTCAATATGAAATTATCCAAGTTCATAATATCCCGTTTCAGTACCCTTAAACATTTTGTAGAATTCTAATGTTGTTTCCTTTGGTTGTTTTATCTTACCATCGTTAATCCAATGCGCATACTGTCTCCTCTTATCATCCCACGAACCCGCGGGTCTTCCTATCTGCTTCTTTTCACAGTGTTTATCTCTCCTTTCCTTAGCATCCTTCTTCTCCTCCTTTTTAGGTTCAGTGAGTTTTCCATTATGGTTTTGATGTTCTTATTACATCTGTTCAGTTTGTTTGTCAGTTCTGACAGTTTGTCGGCGTTCTCATCCATATCACTCATATAATATATATGTACTTCTATATTTATGTATTTAAGTATATTTGTTTATTTAGATATTTTATACTTATTTATCACATCTGTCCCATCAAAATCTACTCTTTAAAACTTTTACATAAATCCATATCTTGTATAGATGATTGTTTGTTCTCACTTCTTGGAGTATTCATCACATCAGCAATCATCCGGTTGGTGCTTTCCTTGCCTTTGTCCTCTGGTGTGATTTGTCTGTTCCAACTGAACGATATGCTGTGTGCTTCACTATCCAGTTTGATGTCTCCGTTGTCATCCCTACTAACGTTCATAGTCTTATCGCTCTTTGATATTTTGAAGGAACACGGATTACAACTACATGTTATCCCCTTCGGGTTGATTTCTATTGTGTTTTGTAGTTGTAGTTTTCAGTAGCATAAGGGACAGTCAAAGGTGATGAATTTGCTTTTGAGTTTCTGCTCTTCATCAAGTTTTATCATTGTTGGTTCTTCATCGGACAGTTCAAAATCTTCCGGTATGGGTGCTTTATTCATCTTCACATTTGTTTTTCGACGAGGCATCTATATTACGTTTTAGATATAATTAGACAATATGATTGATGTATATATTGTCTAATTAGTGCTGGGGAAACACTAAAAAGGATGCTTGGCACTTTGAATTCAACTTGGCAATCGTCAAACACTGGGTGGGGCAAGTCCATCGCAAAAGCAAACAAATTAGCGACTTATGCGGATTGAAGCCAACTGTCCCTAAATGGTTTCCTTCAATAAGAATATAAACATTCTATTTTCTAAGTAAACAGGAACCACAGCGCCTAACCTCAATCAATACATGAATGTGAAGCAAATAATTCGACATCTTTGAAGAACAACTTGGTAGAATTTGAACCTGAACCTACACATAGAAACTCTGACCACCTCAACAATTATCCCCTTCATTCAATCCAAACAATGAAGTGAAAGTTATGACCCTAAAACACCCATAACAAGACACCAGAAAAACGACAAAGGCTCAACACAAATGTTCAAGAGCCAAGAAAATTCAACGAGGTGATTGATGAACCAAAACTCCCCAGAACCCCCATTTTACCATGTTTTCCCCTCACAGTACCCCAACACAAAAAACAACAGAGGCTTGCACCCAAACATAGCCAAACGCCCAGGTCCTTCCAGGCCCTTTTTTAGGCCCTTCCGTCCTCAGGGACTCTCGGGTCATGGCTTCCTCCAATGTGGTCGTGGGATGCACCAGATTCATCTTCTCGCGGCGCACTAACGCTTCACCTCCCATGGCGGCGACCGTTTCCAGATGACGGGAGGCTCGGTGTGTACTCGTCTCCAGGCTCAAGGACGGCAGATGTCTGATCGTGTGAGATGATTGTTTTTGGAAGGTCTTCACTGTGCCAAGAGTCTCTAAGAATGATAATATTATATACTTATATACTCCTTTTGATTGTCCAAGCTGCCTCGCTACTGTATCGTTTTTGCTGGATAAGATCCGGAACGGTGTGATTGGATGCCGAGGGCCCGACCATTTCATTCTTAGGTAAACCAACAAAGGGTTGTCCTAAGGACCTTGCAACTGATACCCATTTGCCCAATCCGCCGTCATGCTTAACCAAGGAATATGACAGGGCGAAGTACCTGTGTTTGAAAGAGGCAGACGACTTGATGCGAGCCTGAAAAGTGTTTCTCGCTGAGGTCGATGTATACAGAAACATGAGGGTGTGTCTTTGAAACTGGACAAAAAAAGACTGCTTCCAGACTGCTGGGAAGATGTACGAGGCGAAACCTCGGTGCCAAATCAACTGCCAAGGCTCTATGCAGTTCATCACTCGAAAAAGGGGAAGAAGAAGAGCAAAGAAGAAAAAGAAGGTCACTTGTCAAAATTGGCGGGATTAGAAGCTGGTTCACTGGTTGCCCTTAGTACATACAGTAGATTTCCAAGACATTCTCTGCATGCATTGCATTCCAAACCGCCATGTGGTACCAAAGCTCGAAGAGAAACGCTCCGGGCCTTGTGTGTCCGCTTTGGGCTGCATATATGGCGGAAGTGGTGGTTCTACCAGTCGTCCTTGTGCCTTCGGTTTGACGCGGAGACAGCTCAGACGCTCTCTGCACAGCTGCCTCTACTCACCTGTCTCCTTCTCCTCAAAAAGTGACACGACCCTGAGATTGCTTTCCGAAACTTGGAAATGAAACATTATGAAACTCTGGAAAACGAGACTGTTCAAACAGGAAGGCTAGATCTCTTGGAGAACAGGAAGAGGAAGACCGACAATGTCCATTCTCGAGGAAAGGACGGCACACTGATGGCACCTGAAGCAACTTCCTGCGGTGTCGAAGTTCTCGAAGAGCACGGCCTGACAAGTGGGGATGATACAGTGCTCCACTTGAAGGGTGCCCCACTGAAAACTAAGATAGACACTGAAAACCACTGGTTTGTAGAGCCATTCTCAGGGTCCATGTCATGTTAGTTTTCGGGAGTGTACAGTCTCCTGGTTGGTGCTGCTATAACGCTACTGCAGGCCCAACCTGAAGAGTTTACTGTAGAGATTTCGATGGAAACCTATATCCAAGCAACACTAACACCAAAAGGAACACAAATGTTTCTCAGTGTTTCTTGCAATCAAAACTGTTCATGGGTCCTCGCCTGCAAGTCCGGCTGAGGCCACCAGCACCAGAGTTGCCACCTGCTTTTGGCCGCCCAGAGCATCGAACTCGCTCTACGCTCGGTGCGGGCCGATGGTGGGCGATGGATGGCAGACTGTCCCGTGTTTGGAACCGATCGCCCCAAGACTTGCGATAGGGCCGATAGGGTCACTTGAGGCCGAGGGTAGGTAACGAAAGCTAGCAGGGATGCATCCGTGTCAGTGGAGGCGAAGCATACAGCGCCGTCCAGTGACAAAGGACTGGTGGGACATCAAGCGGAGTGAGGCAAATCTTTTTTCATAGGCATGGGGCTGTTAGAGGGATGGTTCACAAGGTCTCGCTCATGAGGTAAAACGTTGTGAACATGTAAGACACACGAACAGCAATGACACAGCCAACCTTAGCTTGTGAATCTGTTGAATCTTTTGCATCGTATCCTAAAACCTCCACGGAGTTGAACCAAAGTGGATGCCATAAGAGGTGTCCAAGAGGCGTCCCAGGGGGGAGTTGAACCCGCGGGGGGGGGCCCTCTACATATGAGGTGTTCACGTGATGCGGCGATCTCGAGGATTCCAGCCCCTCACTTGCTAAAGCAAGGACAACTCCAGCTAGCTGCTGCTAGCTTTCGTGAAAAGGTATAAACCATGATCAAACGCTTCATGTCTTTGTCTTCGCATGAGGAAACAGCAAGGCCATGCAAGGCCTGGGAGCTTTCAGCCGTGGCTCTGCCTCGGTAGCTCCCACGAAAAGAAACCTTCGTTAGCAGCAAATGAACAAAGTGAAACGCCAAACCTGCGACGTCAAACATCCAATCTTCCTCGCCCATTCTGCGACTCCGAGACTTCTCGACCTACTCGACGCTTTGGACTCGATCTGAGGTCCACGGACACGAGAACCTCTCTGCCTGAAGGCTCACCGCGGCCTCAACGAAAAGAACAGACTGCTCGGCAAAGCCAACTCTCGTCCATCTTTTCCCTTCTTTTCCCGTATCAAGACAAGCTCCCAGGCACATCTGTCATGTGAGAAACTGAACAACTCGACCAAACCCTGTTCGAGCTGAGACATGCCGACCAAAGGCTGCGACATATGCTCAATTTTTTGCCCCGCATCAAGCTTTTCGGGGAAGTTACTGTCTTTACCCCATCTACGGCATCAACGATCATGCACTGATTAGCCAGTGCGTCCAAAGGACCGTGTTGAGCCTCATCTGTCCCCAATCTGAACCCCAAATGCCAGCTTCATCCGCGCTTAACGACAGGTACAATCGGCAAAATAGCGGCTAGGTTCAGCACGAAATCCTGACCAAGAAAACTCAGAAACCGCCTGGATGAAAGCCACAAAAACCCCGGCCACTGCTTTGCAGTAAGCCCATGCAACAGAAACTTCCGGCTAAGAGTTTGAACGTTGAAGTCAAATTCACCTCTCACTGGACGGGACTTCGGAGAGCTTCAGTGTGCTGCCTGACTATCACATCTGCTGCTGTCAGTATTGCCACTCTTTGGCTGCTGGTGCACCATGGCGCAACTCAGTTCCTGGTCACTGCATCTATAGAAGATTCCAAGCTTTGGTCATAAGTGGCTAGGATCTTCTTCATTTGCCCAGTCACTCAGTCACCCAGTCCTTGCGATCCGCCCCATCCGCACCGGCGCCGTGCGCCACGTCAGTGGCTTCCAGGCGAAGCCGGCTCTTGGGAGGAGTGGGCAGGTCGGCCAGCGAGCTTGCGCCTGCCAGAGGTATTTTGGAAAAAAATCGAAGAACATCCAGAAGCCTCTGGAAGCCTCTTCCAAAGCCTCTGGAAACCTAATCAAAAGCCTCTGGGAAGCCTCTTCAAAAGCCTCTGGGAAAGCCTCAAAAGCCTCTGGAAGCCTCTTCAAAATGGAAGCCTCTTCAAAAGCCGCTGGAAGCCTCTTCAAAAGCCTCTGGAAGCTTCTTCAAAAGCCTCTGGAAGCCTCAAAAGCCTCTGGAAGCCTCTTCAAAAGCCTCTGGGAAGCCTCTTCAAAAGCCTCTGGGAAGCCTCTGGAAGCCTCTTCCCAAGAAGCAGGTTTACAACGATGAGAGCGCCCCTCGACCAAGCCAACATCTAGGCCAATCCCGAGAAATTCCAAAGGAAAGGAGTGCATCTGAGGTGTGTCTAAAAAGTTGAATGGCACTGGAACGCTCAGAATTTCCGAGTTTCACCATTTTGCACACCCTTGGCGTCTCCTTAGTGATTGCCCAAATGGCTTCAGTGAAAATGAGGTTTGGCAGATGCTGAGGTGCAAACAGGGAGCTCCTCTCGTGAAAATCCTGGAGCGACTTGATGAGCCGTACTTTTGCGAAGGCATGTCTTCTTTGCGATCTAACATGATGTCAGTGGGAAACACTCTTTCCTCAACACTCACCACATTGAAGCTGACAAGGCCCTCTTTAAATGACTCACTCCGATCTGCAGTTTCCACCAGCCGCATTGTGCCAGATGGGAACTGATCAGTCCAGCACATCACCAGATATCATTTAATTTCCCGCTTTCCGCTCTCTAGGGATTTGTAGCCTTCAATCTGGTACTCCGCAGGCTCGGACAGGTTGTCTATCTCCGAGATGAAGGTCACAGCGAATGCATTTAGGGCAAAGTCGCTGGCCTGCTCAGAGGTGGCCAAGTAAACCGGAAGGGAGTACAGGATCAAAATGCGGAAGAATCCGTTGGCGATGTAATCCATGAAGAAACGCAGCAGCACCTCGGGCCGGCTCAGCAGTGGAGCTGGTTCCCCGTCTGCTTCCAGCTTGCCCTTTTTCAACAGGACTGCCCACAAGTTGTTGCCGCATTGGTCATCCAAACACACAGCCCAACGGCCGAATTCAAATCCCTTGGAGGAGTTTGGACTTGATCGGAATTTAGAGCTGAGGTAGTATTGCACGAACAGCGCGAAGGCCCAACAGAATCTGGTGAATAGATTCATCTGGACAGGACCCACCACTTTGTTCCAATACACGCAGACGAAGATGCAAGAGAGCAAGAAGGTGTGCATGCATGTCAAGATGGATACCTTTGGGTCCTGGTAAACATTCACAGCCTGCACACTTGGGACCACATAGCCCTCTCGTTCGCGACGAACGGCATCATTGAGGTCATAGATCGTGTAGACGGTGAATATAGCTGTGAGCAAGGCAAAGATGGGCCAGCTGTGAGGCATATGAATGTTGTAGTAGACTTCCAGCATGGCCTTGGGGTCGAGGAGCACCTCAGGTACCACAAGGTACTGGATCAGGACATTGCATGCCGTCAGCAAACCGGTCTTCATCAAAAAATCTCGCACAAGCCACCACTCCCATCCACCGGAGCAGTAGTGAAATAATAAGGTCACCAAGGCAAGCGCTATGTGCAGCACCAGCACAAAAGAAAGCATGAATTTGAAGTGGTAGATCCACGGCTGTTTCTTCATTTCCTCTTCTAGTATGGCGCTCTGAAGACTATTTGCTCTGTCCAAGGCTCCGTGCTGCGCAGCCAGCATCGCTGCGTTTTTGCCCTCCTCGTCCATGGCAGTCAAGGACACGCCGAGCTGCTGATGAAGACCTGTCACCACTTGGAACGGCATGTTGCACGGATCGATGGCTGGTGATTTAGCACAAGAGTGCAGTGAGCTTGCCTCCATCAACAAGGTGCGATCTTCACTGCTCCTCTCATCAAGAAATTCTGGATGATCTATGGCATACTGGAAGACAAACGCCGGAACACCCTTTCTTCCATAGCCAAGTTTTGCTGTCTCCACTTCCATGTTGAGGCTCAAAATGGCGCAGTACTGTTCGTCACCAGAAAAAGGGGACGGACATGGTCTGACAAGCCACCTCCTCAAGGTTCCCCAAGTAAGCAATCGGAGCAGTGCTGGCTCAACTTGAATTTCCTCCTTCTTCGCAAGCTTAAAGCCAACATCAACAAAGCTGGAATTGCCAAATGTTCCATTTGTGAACAAGCGTCGGACAATTTCTATGCGGCTATCAAGATGCCACTGCTCCTTTGCATACATCAAACCGAACTGAGACAATGAGGACTGCTCTTCCTCTTTCCTAAGGACTGGCAAGCCAAAGGCAGCTGAAGCCAGGGCCAAATCTTTCAGGTCCTGGTCAGGGTGCTTCTCCAGCACAGAGAAAAGCTGCTCTTCATTGCCATCCATTGCATATTTGGTGACGTTCTCAATAACACTCATGTCCTCACAGTCTGGTGCATGCATTCTCTTACTGAATCTCCCAAACTCTTCACAACCCTCTTCCTGGCTTTTCTTCCCGAATTGGCTTACAGAATAACCGACCCACCAAGCATGTCCATGCGTGATGTAGGTCTTCCATGAATCAAAGTCCTCCGATGCCACCGGAACTTCCTTGTCCGTGGACAAGCGCCTGGGCAAACTCTTTGGAAGCACAGGGGCAAGCGCACCAAGCGCACCTTGTCCTTCAGGCCTTTCAGGCCTTGGCTCTGAAGTGACGCCCTTGTTCACCGCAAGGCGCCCAAGTTCCGCTTCCAAAGCGGCCAGGTGGGTCTCGACGGTCTCCAAGCGCGCTTCGAGCGATTGGTTGTAAGTCCGCCAAGTCCTCCAAGTGGTCCAAGACCACCAAGCCGACCAAGCCCCAGTGGACACCGCCATCAAAATGGCGCCAGCCAGAAGCGAGGACCACGGGCACCGCATGGCTGGGACTACCTGTTGGGCGGCTTTGGGGCTGGGCAAAGCAGCTGAATAAAAATGAGGTGACTGGAGCAAAGCAAAAATCCTCACAACCTTCAACTTATTCAACTTCTTCAACCCTACAGATAGTGTAAACACACTCAAGGAACACACCAGAGGTCACGGTACTGAAACTGAAACTTTGACGTCCGATTGTCAGCACAACGCAGCGAGATTCGGGGCACTGTCCTTGGCCATGCTCTTGTGGGAGCACCATGGAGCAACTTGAAGCAAACCATAACATGACATTTAACCAAGAATCCGAAGCTTGAATGCATTCAAAATGTCATTTTAAGACCTTCAGACCATCCTTTTGAATGCTGTAAAGTTAGAAAACCGAATCTCCCCTACACAATCTCCGCTTGCCACAAATGTGGTGAGATAGCTCAGCAGTGCGCGACAAGCGTTTAAAGCTTAGCATGTAAATTTCTCTGCAAAGAACATGGTGCAAAGTAATATCTGCTGATAGTTGCAAGCTTGAGCCGCATACGTTCAGTGCTCTGGGGGTCGGTGTTGGATTCGCGCCACAGAGCTTTCTTTACGCTAAGCCGCTAAGCGCCGCATACTGCGCTGCAAAGCGATTCGCTCACATGATTCACAGAGACGCTGCGCATGACATCACCCATGTCTGATTCTCAAGGAGATATGGAAAGCACCAGGCTGAATTCCTGTAGAGCTCGAAGGCGGCGGTGATTCAGAACTAGTGATGTTCGGGCCCGAGGAAGTCTTCTTGTCAAAGACAGCCGTTACTAGAGGAGTACAAGCCTTTAAACAAAGCTGAGCAAATCCATAAAGCAGTTCAACAGCACACTATGGATACGACGTGGACACGCTCAAACACTTTACTCGAACTGAACTTCGCGGACACAGGCGGGATAGCAGAGTCAATGGAATTTGAAGAAAGAACTTCGGGGACTTCTTTGTACCATGGTTCATCCCACAACAATGACAACTTTGTTGTAGCTTCGGAATCTCCAAAGCCGGGCCAGAAATTGAAAGTACGACACCAAAACCTATTGGAGTTTGCTGAGATGATTCTGTGTGGAGAGAGCAATGTCAACCCGAAGAGTGCGAAGTCTGAAGAAATTGACAGCTGAGACTGTGGAGATGGTGTTGGACCAACCTGGGAAATGCTGAAACTGTGGCCCTTCCAACCGCTGAAGCTCCTTTCAAAAAGGGAAGTCCGACCATTGCCAAGAGAACAATGGCATACAATGGCTGTTTTTTGGCCAAACAAAACACACATCTGCAATGCCGGCATTCGGAGAACAGGCTTGAACACGTGTCCAGGACAGTAGAGCTCAATGTCTGAAACGCACCACGCGCACTACGCATGGTCTTATCCAAATGTCTGATTTGGCACTCCAAACATGTCTATCCGGATCTAGTTGGCACGCGAATGATCTGCTTCTCATTGAAAGTGAGGCTTTTCGGGTGCCAATTGACTTGTGAAAAGCATATAACTTTTCAATGGGATGCTAGGGGTCTGAGTAAAAACAGGTATATAGCTTGCAAACTTGCTCTGTGAAGTACGACGAAATGCGGACGAAACCCAAATCGCACACGGTCGAAACGGAGACCGTCAACAGCCCAAAGTCTGCAAAGTCTGTAAATGTCACAATTGGGGTAGCTACGGTAGCTAGTGACTCGACTCGACACTTTGCCATGACTTCACTCCAGAAATCCAGACAAATGTCTTTCAGACATGTTGTGGCTGCAACACGAAGTCATTGAGCGGCAGACGGCCAGGTGCAATGGATGCATTGCAAGCTGATAAAGCTTCACAAACCTGTTACACGGGTCTTACACAGATCCACATCTCTGGCAAAGGGCCAAGTCATACAAAGTCACATCTATCATAGGTGGCATATGCAAAAGCCTCTGGAAGCCTCTTCAAAAGCCTCTGGGAAGCCTCTTCAAAAGCCTCTGG